TATCTATCTATCTATCTATCTATCTATCTATCTGTTCTTAAAGTGTCATTCATGGAAATATTGAGTAGTTTTATCATTCATTGAGACTTTGAGTATGTTGCTAATGCCAGATGAAGAAGTTTCCGAGAATTCAGTTTTTGATTGTGCATCTGCAAACATATTAGGTGTTTTAACTGGAAAATGCAGCTAGAAAAACATTGTTTAGAAAAAAAAAGTCTTTGCAAGAATAAGATACCTGGAACATAACAGAGCTGTCAATTTTGAAACAGTTCATTATTATTACTTCTTCAGTTCCTACACCCACTTTGGTTTACTAAAACACACTCATGTTTCTCTGATTCTGTTTCCAAACCTGAGCCCAGATGTCCGACATTTGGTGACAATAAAAATGGCAAAAGAAAGGAAGCAATTATCTCTGAAGGATTACCAGGATGAACCTCTGGGTGTATGTTTCTCCAGCCCCCAGCTCGCCTCATAAGGAAGCAGTTCTTAGTGCAGTGCTGGAATTTGGCATGGAGTGCACTGTTTGTTTGGGAATGAGAAAAGGCGTGTCATTAGGGTTTGTTAATTGCAGCTAATTGGCCCTAACGAGATGAACAAGGCCACCCACTGGGATCAGTCACACAAATAATTTGTCGAAAACAAAATTAATTAGTACATGCTAATTAAAGTCAATTAAAACTGATTAGGCAGGAGTGGAACGGGAAAGTTAGAGAGTGCAGGAAAATATCTGGCAGCGCGCAATATGGCACGACAAGGATGTCTGGCAGCTTATAGAGCGCCTCGCTGTGAAACAAGATGACTGCAGGTCAACGCTGTTCAGACAGGAAACAACTTTAGAAAATTTATAGCAAGTTTACCATCTGCCTCAAAGTCTGGCATGTGGAATTATTAAAACAATGGAAGCAAAAGTACCTTTTCTATTGCCTAATAAAACAATATGATTGTTTGATACTTACAGTACAATTTGAGCTGCATGAAAATGTTCTCATTTCACGAGCAGTGAACAGATTTAGACAAACTTATTTTAAGTGTTGCCTTTAAAACATTTTTTTCTGTATTAAAAACCAGAAACCAGAAAACAAGTAATAAAGATGGCTGGTATAAGGCTGCAAGAGTTTGAGGAACAACTTAAAAAGTGTTTGAAKCTATGAGAGGCCCTTTAGGCCATAAATGTTTCAAAATAAGTTGTCATAGTTTGATTTAAAAATAGTAATTTGACAGTTTTATGTAGTTAGTTAAGTAAAATTCAACTATTACTTTCTCCAGAAATGTTTTATTTTAATGATTTACATGTGCAAAACCATGATCCACATACACATATTTTTTAAAATAATTGAAAGCATCAGCATTTTAATTTTATTAGAGTTTTATGAAAAATCTTATGAATTTTGCTGCCTCAATCATAGAAGCTGTGATTTTAGGCTTTGGTATGTGCATTTACTATCAAGTAAAATACTATAAAAGTTCAAATGATATTATCAACAAATATCAATCTTTTTAACTATAAATTGCTACACACATTTATTACTTTTATGCAGTTTATAGAATGACTGAACCAAAGAGTTGAAAAAATGCCACCCTCTATAACCTCATTATTAGGTTAAAAACAACACATAATATCTTTAAAGTAGCTCCCCTGTTTTGACCCACTGAAAGTTATAATGTTTAGTTTTCTTTGTTACATGACTCAATGATGCTGACATTTTCCATAAGTGTGAAAAAGCTTTTTAGTAACATCCAGGACTTACTTTATTTATTTATTTATTTATTTATTTATTTATTTATTTATTTATTTATTTATTTATTTATTTTCAGGTAGGAGGGGAGGAACTCAGTTCAAGAGGAACGAATATGGCGAGGCAGATGACGAGGACAGCAGTGGAGAGCAGGCAGGTAAGTCTTAAAATGAGTTGACTGAGCTGAATCCTTGTTGTCTGTAAAGTCTAAGGAGGATCAGTAGGGAGAAAGTTTAACGGGGAAGTTCAACAATGCAACACTCACATCAACTTGAAGGATTATTGTGTGGTGATAATTGTTTAATGATTGTTTCCTAATAATATTTTCTTGGGAAAAAAAAGTGAAATCACCCCAAAGACATCTTCTGTAAAACTTTATCAAACTTTATTTCCTGGATGTGTCAATATTACCAGCTCAGGTGTTCTACTAGGGGTCTGAGAGCTTGTTTCTAGATAATTTGCCCTTACTGATAAATAAAACATATAGCAGCATTGCTACATCCTGTCAAATAATATATTTAACAGCTCTGACGTAACTTTTCCATAAATTGAGCTTTGTGCCTTTGATAAAGAAGGCTTTGCTGTGGGGTCTTTTTGATAAAACACATTGATCTCCACTTATTAAACAATCTATGAATCCATATGTAGTGTTTATGATCAGTTTATTGTGATTTTTTTTTTTTTTTTTGGTTAAAAGAGGAGATCATCTGTGGCTTCTCCGCTCAGCACCAACTGACTTTAAAGCTTTGATATTTGGAGCTAAAACAGTGGACAATTTTGATGAGAAGAGCTGAGAAAATACAAACATGAATCTGAATTTGATTCTCCAAGTCAGCTCTAACGTCACCACTGTAAAGCTAAAAATACACAACAATCTTCATGCACTGATTTATTCTTTTTCAGATGTGCTGCATCCCTTTAGCTAAAAAAAAAAAAAAAAAACTTTGGTGAGTTTTTTTATTTTTATTTCCCTACTATGAAATAAAATAATTTCTGAGCAGGTAATAGCAGCACCTCTGGTGCGCTGCTCAGGCCTCGTCCTCTCCTTGATGATGAGAAARGCTTCAGAATGACTGTTTTGTTGACGGCAGCGAGCTGCAGGGTTACAGCAGTGTTGCGCTGTTTGCATGCATGAGTACAACTCTGAGATGGTGAGCGCTCGGGAATGGAGAAAAAAACCCATACGAGAGGAGAGTGATCAGCCTGAGGGGCCGTTCGGTGAGAGGGCCCAGGGGACGGGGTGCCCGAGGCCCCCCGGTGATGATGGTGATTGATGCAGGCACAATTCAGACAGCCCAGACGCTGCAGCAAATTAAAAGGCTATTTTGTAAAGTTGTAAAAGAGCAGAATGGCAGAGGAAAGCGATGACCCCCCTTCCTCCACACACACACACACACACACACACACACCTCCCCCTACCTCCAACTCTTCTGTCATCCCATCAGCCCTTCAGCTTCTGTTTGGTCTCCATGGTGTCATCACTCCTGCAGGGAGGAGAGTAACACGAGGCTTTTCCTCCCTCACTTATACACTCCTGATGCCACGGTTCACATCTTCACACACTCAACTGACAGTCTAATCTGTGCAAAATATAAAAAAATGTAATCTACACACATTTTCTTTGTACCATTTCACATTAGGTAAAAAACGTGTAATCTGTTGTTGAGTTGGACAAGAAAAATCAACTGTATGCAACAATGGAGGAGTTTTCAGGAACATTAACATGCACCTTTCATGCATTCTAAATATTTTTACATTTTGAAATATTAGAGGGAAGTCAAGGGATGTTATGAATGATGTTTACGATTGTGTGCATTAGTTCCTTATTTGTATATGATTTCCACATCCTTCACTCTCTGTTTGAATTCCATTAACCCGGCTGACCCCAGGATGCTCCCCTCGTTCCGTTATTTGTCCTGCCTGGGAGCAGGAGATAGACAGGCAGGCTGCGTCAGGCTACAGGCAGAACAGCCTGTGGGGAGGAAAAGTCACAGGAGGTCAAACTGGTGTCAAGTGGGGAGTGAAGACAGCTGAGCTGCCCGGCCCGAGCATTGTGCTCGTCAGCGCAGCTCCTGTCAG